ACACGAAGTTTAGCGCGAGTATGACTGGACATTCGCGTACAGCGGGTGGCAAGATCAAGGGCTTGAATAAAGATGGAACGATGCGTCAGAAGGGTTTGGGGGTGCCAAAAACACAGGAAAGAGGGATGTGGACAAAGTACCCTAGGCGGATATTGAGGACCGGACCTGAGGACCGGACCTGAGGGAGGAATTTAGGACCGGACCAGAGGACCGCATCTAGGGGACTATTGGAGGACCGGACCAGAAGACCGGACCGATTAGTGCAATAGAGAATTTCAGGAGTTAAAAGTGATGACTCATACGAAACCATAGAGACGGGTATTTTCACATAACACGATGGTAAAGAAAGTCTCGTTCCACTTAGGATCGTGATTAATAAATATAGCAGGCGCGCCATTCCCAATGGCACTTCTGACTGATTTCACTTATTTCAGACTTAACACTCTTTATTAAGTGTTACTTGGTTTTAACCACAATTTTAAGTGACCGAATTACTGTATTTATTACATTGAGTTCCTCACAGGTTAAGCTAACTAAAATTAATTAGTTATATAATTTTTTACACGATGAATGAAGTTACTACGTGAACAAGAAAGCCTGTGTTCGATTGTTGAAACGACTGCTTGCAGTTCATCTACAGTCGCCATGGTATACTGATGAGGTGGCGACATAATTTTCCTCTGATTCAGTACCGGATGAAATACTAAAGCAGAGGTCTATATTACGCTAGACCATTGTATTATCTGAGACTCAACAATCGATTTCCGCGTTGGATAAGTCCATACAGCATATGAAAGGGGTTGTCAAGCGGAGCGACAACTTAGGGCTGATGACACATGGGCAAAACGCTATGGAGGTTATTTTTCTATTTCGGCTACTAAGTCAAAAATTTCGGAAATTTTCGTATATGGGTTAACCGTCTTAAGGCACTGATATAGTCTGGACGGATATGGACCATACGATTGAGATGAATTTTGTCAGGTGCCGACCGGATTCTACAAGTTCTGAACTTACTAGCTATACGCATGGGACAACTTCATACTTGTGTCTATCTAGGACTGAGCCAGTCATCACTGTACAGGAGCTCGTGGACGTGATTAATTTAGTTGAAAAATATGCTGGTGGCTGAAGGAAAACACTACAAGCTAGTATTGGGTAAAACTGATACGGAGCTGACTCGGAATCTTAGGACGACATATGTCGATCGGATAAAAGGTTCAAGTTTAAACGGATATAAAACTTGTCGAAGGTGGAAGTGATTGCTTGGACACATATTCAACCTGTCGAAGGTGGAAGCGATTGCTTGGGCACCAACCGAGATTTGCAAGGAGACTATATTACTAAGGTTGGGGGCAAGCTTTGATGTAAATTCTCCAAGGACGCCAATAAGCGTCGTCATCACAGCTCAGGGATATTCAACACACATGACGGACACTCACATATAGTCCTTAGAACAGATTTGGGAAATATCACAAATTTTTCATATTTATGTGACATGACGCGACGGCACTTCGACTGGCGGCGGGGTAGAGACTGGCGGTGACGTATAAGGATTACCTATGTGTAGGTTGACTTCAGTCATTACACTTTGAAATGATGTCTGTCAGTTACAGACCGGCCAATCATTCGACAGAGGAGTCGGGATATTCTGAGTAGTGCTTACAAAATGTGCTAGCATATACGACGTGCGATTATCTGAATGACAATGATTAATTATGCTGCAGGCGGCACGGCTGGTTGCATGGTTCACTATATATAT